ATGCAGAGGACGGATATGTTGAAGGGATCCTCGCCCGCTCGGGATAATCTCCGGGCCGCGTCCATCATGCGTCTGGCTTCCGGCTGTGGTGCCACATCCTCGCCGGGTCGTTTGAGCCCATCGGCTAAAGGGGCCGCCCACAGAAATCCCCTTTTCACGGCTCCTTTCATGGCCCTGCAATCAATTTGAGTCCCCTGTAGGCTGGGAGAGGCCTACTACTCAGAAGCTTTCAATCTGTCAGAGTGCGAAGCGAGGGGCTGACAGAGGCCCCCCCCCCGGGGAGAACCGTCAGCGCCGAAATTACTTTTCATAGCTTCTCTCTCACCTTTCATACATCCCATGGGGAGCTCTGCCTGCACCGGGCCCAGAAGCTAAATGACCGGGAAAGGGGGGGGCGTTCCCGGGCTGCGGTGGGGGTGGGAGAGAGACCACCGGCGACGGCACCGAGGCCACGCCCTGGAGAGGCAGCCCATGCCAAGACGCTGGAGCTGGGGTGCCAGAAATACAACCAGAAATCGCCCAGGGCAGCATCTTCCAAGGAGGCACCACCCCCCCCCCATTTCTGTTTGAAAACTTTCACCATTTCCATGCCCCCCAGCACTGCCGGTCCCCCCAGTACAGGTTTTTTCGAAAGCATACCTGATACTGTTTTCACTACAGCTAGACTGACAAAATTGACCAGTTCCCCAATGAAGGGGGTGTGGCCAGTTCCCATGGAGGGGGTGTGGCTAGTTCCATGGAGGAGTGGCCAGTTCCCAGGGGGAGGGGCCTAGGGTGCTACATAGGCTTCGACCGCCACTGAACACGACCCCCCCCACTGGGCTGTTTCTCCATACACTTCACCTCAGTCCTGGCCCACGCATTATATTGGCTACGACAACGAACAAGGGTGCAGCTTAGAGTAGGGGTACAATGGGCAGTATTGTACCTTCCTGTGCAATATGGGGGCAATCAGATAGCTATGTCTGAACCATAGGGGCTACAGGTTGGATGCTTAACTGCAGCTGCCCTGGGGTATCGGGTAACAGAGCTGCACCACCGCCCCCCTCCCTGGCTGGCTGGATAGATTATATCTGACAGCCATGTCTGTGTTGGGGAGTTTCACTACATTGATTGTGGGGCCCTAAACATATCAGGCTGGCTGTCATTTCAGCTCTGCAAGTAAATGTTTATTTTTGTTATTACCCACGTTATTTGTTTGTTTGTTTGTTTGTTTATTTGCCACTTGGCACATTTATCCCCGTTAGAACCAAAATTCTGTTCTCATTCTCGCACCACTGCTCAAAATATCATTAAACGCTGCCGGTTTATTTTGTATTCCGGAATTTAAAGGGAAGTAAATGGCTCATGAAAGTAGACAGAACTCGTAAACAAATGCGCTATACGGTGAATGGAAAATCCGAAAATCGAATCAATGGCCAAATTAGACTCTTCTGTGTTGGTTGACAGAGACAATGACACGTAAATCTAAAAATACTGCATTAATACTAAAGAGAAAGTTCTTCAGCTTCGTTCATGTCTGAATGACCCCATGTTTGAAGAAGGGGAATCGTTTTTTACATGTCATTATTTAATTTTCATTTCGTTCTCCCTCAGGTAGTCTGAAGCTCAAACTGCCTCCAGCCACTCAAACTCCATGTTGATGCTCTGAAATTATACTATAACTTTCAGCAGAAACCAAAACTATGAAACCCAAAGAGGATGTCCTTTGGTGATGTACAACAGCCTTTTATTTAACCTGACAATAACAACCATTGTAAGACTTGTAGTTAATAATATGATGTGCATCATTTGTTTTACAATTCATAAAAAACAAAAAATTAAATCAAACATTTTCTTAATATCGTCCAGCTCCTTAGAGCCTGAACGGTGCTATAAACGGAACCTACAAGAAATCCACGATTAAAACATTTTGCTGTGATTCCTGATGAATGTTCTGCTGCACAGAGCAAAGACCTCTGCTTCTCCGGGAAGCTGCGTCATCCTATATCACGGGGGCGACTTTCGAGGGGCCATTTTTATTGGTGGGAGATGGGAGGCCAAACAGACGAAACACGTGAAAGCGATTTTCTCATGAACAAAATGCTTTTCAGAATTGAACAAGTGGGGATAGAAACAAACGAACCAAGGAATATGGACGATTTCAATGACACACACCCTGTTTTCCCGTTTCCCATAGGCTCTGAAACTGGCCACGATCCTACTGTCTTCGTCCCACAGGGTTCCCAGCATGTCGGAATGATATACAGTGACATGTGTAAACTGTTATTGGCTAAAATGATCTTTTTACTTTGGTTTGTTAGCTGCCAGCCTCGAAATATTGATCTGCCGCGGGTAAACAGAGTGCTCGCCTATTTGATATACTATCCATAGGTCTGAAACGCTAAAGCTGTCAAGGGAACGTTACTTTTTTCTGCAGTAACAAACTGCTCTCCAAGTGTTTAAGCAGGGCCCACAAAGCATGCTGCTAATTTATTAACTAGCTATTTGTCTGCGAGGCCAATAGCAGTAGGATCAGTTGGAAACGGATATACGGCCCAGCAGCGCTCACGCAGCCTGCCTAGCGCTTGATCAATTTCATGGGAGAGCATTTTAATATTTTAAGGCTTTAAAATGCTTTCTCGAGAAAAATGCTAGCAGACTCGCCTGTTTGCTGCAAAATGGAGCGCTGGGCAGTTGTGAAGAATGGTAATGGATGACAAGGATTTAAGCAGCAGTCAACAGGGCCTGTCAATGCAGCGTAGAAAAAATAACGTAAGCCTATTCATTGGTGATGGGCAAAATGGGCCTTCACGAAGGCCATGGTGGGCGGTATCGCTGCCTTCTGTCTTTCAGTGGGAACCAATGGGCTTTTTGAATGGGCGTGTCCTAAACCTGTCGGCGAATAACAGAGCACAGTGCTCCCTGAGCCTCATTCTCCACATAGTGTATGCCATGTGGCATTGCGCCCCCATCTGGACATTATGGTTTCTATGCAAAGTGCACCGACAGAACCAGGGTCAGGAATCGAACCCACAGCCCTTGAAGAATGAAACCACAGCGCCTCCTGCAGCACAGTTACCGTAAATTTACAGAATATCAGTGTGATTCCCTCATCAATTATTAGTGCCAAAGCTATTCGCTGGTAACTTTGATCAGGTGCTGTAATAATTTGTAGTACTAAATCTTACAAACCCTACAGTAAATCTGACACATTATTTCGCATTATAGCAAAAGATCGGTTTTACAGCTTTCATAAATAAGCTTTAAAATGCATGAAAATCCCTGCACATGTTCTTTGGCATTATACACGAATTTTAAATAAAACACATATAAATGACTAACTTATTTACCGGTTCATATCCAAAGATCAGCTACAGGCTCGCATAGGTTAGTAGAAGCTGATCATCTGGCAAATTCAGAGTGTTGCTACTTCACTTTCAGTTTATTATGATTTCAGAGTCGGCCCTTCGTCACGACTGCGTGCGCTCCAGCAGATTTTGCCGGGGGTGTTTCAAAGATACCCGTCATGCGCTTTACCACAATCTGCTCAACATCTAAAATAGACCATTATTCTTTAACAAAGCCTTTCAGGTGCATGAAAACGCTGGCATTTCACTTATCACTAGAGAGGAACAGACAGCATTGTGAGGTGTGATTCTTTTTTGTCATCTCCCAGTCTTGTCTTTCCCACAATGCAATTAGATGTCAAGAACATGGATATAACTTAAATTGTCACTCAGTCCCTTTTCTCTCCACGTCTCACATTTTCCTTTGAAAGGTAAAAGGACTTTGAGGTTGAGGCGTACGAGGACCAAAGGAGGATCAGGCGACTGTATGTCAGGATGTGTAGTTCAGCTCTACCGTAAACAGGTAAGCATTTAAATCCGCGTGACGTATTCATAACATTTCAGAGGATTTCCTGTAAGCCTGGATTCTGTTGCAATTTTGCATCAAGGGTTTCCAAGCACACTTTTGAATTTTAAGTTCATTTTTCTTTGAAATTTAGAACAAACAAAATAACAATAAGACGTGTGAAGTTATGCAGTGCCTGTTCCTTAAGCCTGGGGACTTGTTAAGTAAAATCCTTGTGTCACGTATTAGACTTGAGGTGAGTTTCGTAGAACATTCTAGGCGATCACATCCGTAGGGGTTTGACTTGAAGATTTTAGCCTAAAGGATTTCAGCTTGTCCTCCCCAGCGGTATGTCCATGAAAGCACACAACTTAGTCATGCTTTCCAGAGTGTCCCTGCGGTATTTTTAGACTTACAGTAGACAGTTCCAGTGCATAATATCCTAATGTTCATGCACTACATACTGCTATGGCAAAGTGCATTTAGATGGTGTCCCCGACCTGAATTCCTGACCATAATAGGTTAAGTGACTGCATGCGGCTATGATAAGGGAGTTATAAAATAACTGTAGCTCTTTGTTCATATGCTGCACGCCATCCCTAAACGCTTGAAAGCTCCCTGTCCACCCAAAAACTTTGATCCATTTCACACTATTTTTCACACCTCTGCAGAAAAATGTGGAAAAAGATGGAATTAGTGTTAATGTAAGACTACAAATAGCCAACAATGTCTAAATAGTACTATAATTATAATACATACGGAATCAGGGGTGTAGTTAGAGATGAATGGATAGGGGGCTAAGTCTTTACTTGGGTGGTGGGGGGGGGGGGGTGGCAAAGATATATAATATAAAGAGCTATTAATGATTTAAAATAATTAATGCACATTTACTTGGGGGGCTGTGGGACATTTTAGGTGGGGCTAAGCCCCACCCCCCCATAAAAAACAGGCCTAACCACACCCCTGTACGTATTTATCGTAAGAATACAAATGTAAAATGAGCAACAATTGGCATTAAGTTCACATGACAGTAAATTATGCATATTATATATCAATCGCTAATTAATTACTAAAACCTATAGGTATATCACAATTAAATTGAACTCTAAAGTTATATTTTTATATATTTATTACAAATAAATGCGCATTATTATCAAATTTGGAGCACATCCAGGCATCGGTCATGCATCATTTAATGGTATAATTAACATCGGGAAATTAAGAAATATGTATGCATTACAGTATTGAGTTTGTTTTAGAATTAAATAGTTAAAATGGAAGTGTTTGTGGTCAGTCCTGACGTCAAGGAACAGAAGTACTGTACAACATGGAGCCTGCAATCGGCCGGAGGGAGCGGGGTTTCTCAGTGGGAAACCCGTGAGATCATCACGGAGACCCGGGAGACGACTTACAACTGCGTGCCAGATATGGATTTCTGTCTTTTCCATATGGGACACTTTGTTTTCTTTTCTATTTTTACGAAAAGCCGGAAAGTGCATTTGAACAAAAGCATCAAGGATTTAAAGTATGCAGAAACCTGATCCACTTCAAGAAGCTTTTCAAGAATCTGCACAGTTGTTGCATTACTCTGAAGGCAAATGCGAAGCTCTTAATAGTGTGATGTGAATGCATTTCTTTTATTATCTTTCATAAACCTGAATGAACTTACGCGTAAATAGTTCTATGTGTGATAAAACAAAAATACGCTGGACAATAGGAAGGTTTCATGTTGACTTTGTGGCTATCAAGTTTCCTCAAATCCGTACAGAATTTTAAATGCGGAGATGCAGTTTGCTGGTGGAATGAAGTTTTAATCTTGGAGACACAAAAACATTGCTCGATGCTGGGAATTTTTCTTTCACGCACATGGTACCACGTTTGTGTTTTATGGACAGAAAATGATCTGCAGAGCCTGTCACTGTACTTATATTGAACTTAATCAGTATAAAATGATTCATGCACCAAGTAAAGGTTAATGTCAAGAGAGTTTGTCCCGCAGCGGAATACTAGTAAACATCAGTCTAAAGTCTAAATTCAGAGGAGATTCAAGGAAAATACCTGCATTTTTCAGTCTTGGTGACAATTGCAACGAAATGGCATGGGCCGTCTGTTCTACTCAGTTTGTAACCTCGCGAATTTGATTATATTTTAACGTTTTCTTTGCTTTATATGTGCCGTTATATATTTTACATCGTATTGTATAATTTAGACATGAAGGTTGTTGTATTAGGTATCTACGTCGTTGCATTACTCCTTCTTGAAAGCGGCAGTTCCGCATCTATATCCGAATGCAAAACGTATGGCGAACGTCGAAGAAACGTAGGGAGAACGTTGTGGTCTGGCCCCACGCGGGAGCGGAGAGTGGTGTGCAGCGGCATGGAGCTGCGGCGCGTGCTTCCTCCCAGTGACTTCCCCAACACCACGGTGACACTGTAAGTACCACACTCACTGGAGTTACGTCTCACTGTACCATTTCTATGGAGCGAAATAATATTACAAGGGAATCGTAGGCAATAGGAAATGCTGCAATATTGATGTAGAAGGTCTGATCTGGATGTCTACTTATTTCATTAAACTGTGTCAAGTTATCTCGTTGTTAATACTATATCATGCCTATGGATAACAATGTAGTAGTTCTACTGTTTTAAGTTTGCAATAAAATAGTTAATTTAGCATATTTGTGTTGTTACTGATAGGGACATTTATTCTGAAATCGTTTTTATAATAACATGGAAATTCGGTGAGTATGGCTGTTTTCTTTCCTGCTGAATTTGTACCCCCTTAACCAGAAACTTACTGTTTTGCCTAATTAGTCAGCATAATTTGTGTTGTAGACTAGGTGTTCCTCGCCATATCTGCTCATGACGAGAAATCTG